AAAAAAAAAAACTGTAGATGAAATTGAAATTGCCATATCTGAAAGAAAAGTTAAAGTCCCTTGGTTTAGAAAACGTCCTTTATTCCTGAGGGGTAATTGTGTTTGCTTTCACAGATCACAGCATAAAGACCACGCACATGCATACAGCTCACACACGTCAGGGGCTCGTACAGTGTGCACATCAGGGGACATAGAGTCCTACTGACGGACAAAGTTCAAACTCCAGATACAAAACAGAACAAACGAAACACAATTCAGAAGTACTACTGGCTGTACATGATCACCTCTGTGTTTATTAAACTGCTACATTACCAGGAAATGTTTGTGAAGTGTCTTGCCTAAGGACACAACAACAGATCTTGGTTGGAGCGGGAATCAATCTGACCATCAGGTTGGGGGACCACTGCTCCAAGCTCTGTCCATTGTCAAAGTAGCAGTACAAGTACCAGCAGTAGTAGTAATAATAGTCTCCCTCCTCAGTAGTTTCACTAGTAGTAGTAGTAGTTATTAGTAGTAGTAGTAGTAGTAGTAGTAGTAGTGGTGGTGGTGGTAGTAACGGCAGTGCCTGTCTCTCCTCAGGCCTCTCCTGGTCCCTTGGGTCCACTCATCTCAGACTGTCTCCGTCCTGACGTCCGGGTTCCTCCAGACCAGAGTTCGTCCTGTGAGGTCTACACCTCCAAGAACATCAGCGCTGGCTTCCTCTTTCCTCCAAGTAACTTCTCTACTCTACAGCCCGGGTTTAGTCCTGGTTTAGTCCTGGTTTAGTCCTGGTTTAGTCCTGGTTTAGTCCTGGTTTAGACCTGGTTTAGACCTGGTTTAGACCTGGTTTAGAGTCCTGGTTTACCTGGTTTAGACCTGGTTTAGACCTGGTTTAGACCTGGTTTAGTCCTGGTTTAGACCTGGTTTAGAGTCCTGGTTTAGACCTGGTTTAGTCCTGGTTTAGACCTGGTTTAGCCTGGTTTAGTCCTGGTTTAGACCTGGTTTAGTCCTGGTTTACCTGGTTTAGACCTGGTTTAGACCTGGTTTAGACCTGGTTTAGTCCTGGTTTACTGGTTTAGTCCTGGTTTAGACCTGGTTTAGACCTGGTTTAGTCCTGGTTTAGACCTGGTTTAGTCCTGGTTTAGACCTGGTTTAGACCTGTTTTTGTCCTGGTTTAGACCTGGTTTAGACCTGGTTTAGACCTGGTTTAGACCTGGTTTAGTCCTTGTTTAGACCTGGTTTAGTCCTGGTTTAGACCTGGTTTAGTCCTGGTTTAGACCTGGTTTAGACCTGGTTTAGTCCTGGTTTAGACCTGGTTTAGTGGTTTAGTCCTGGTTTAGACCTGGTTTAGTCCTGGTTTAGTTTAGTCCTGGTTTAGACCTGGTTTAGACCTGGTTAGTCCTGGTTTTACCTGGTTTAGTCCTGGTTTAGACCTGGTTTAGTCCTGTTTAGACCTGGTTTAGAACCTGGTTTAGACCTGTTTAGACTGGTTTAGTCCTGGTTTAGACCTGGTTTAGACCTGGTTTAGAGTCCTGGTTTAGTCCTGGTTTAGTCCTGGTTTAGACCTGGTTTAAGACCTGGTTTAGACCTGGTTTAGACCTGTTTAGACCTGGTTTAGACCTGGTTTAGACCTGGTTTAGACCTGGTTTAGACCCTGGTTTAGACCTGGTTTAGACCTGGTTTAGTCCTGGTTTAGACCTGGTTTAGACCTGGTTTAGACCTGGTTTAGTGGTTTAGACCTGGTTTAGACCTGGTTTAGTCCTGGTTTAGACCTGGTTTAGTCCTGGTTTAGACCTGGTTTAGACCTGGTTTAGTCCTGGTTTTAGACCTGGTTTACCTGGTTTAGACCTGGTTTAGACCTGGTTGGTTTAGACCTGGTTTAGACCTGGTTTCCTGGTTTAGTCCTGGTTTAGAGAGTCCTGGTTTAGACCTGGTTTAGACCTGGTTTAGACCTGGTTTAGACCTGGTTTAGACCTGGTTTAGACCTGGTTTAGACCTGGTTTAGACCTGGTTTAGTCCTGGTTTAGACCTGGTTTAGAGACCTGGTTTCCTGGTTTAGTCCTGGTTTAGTCCTGGTTTAGACCTGGTTTAGACCTGGTTTAGTTTACCTGGTTTAGACCTGGTTTAGTCCTGGTTTAGTCCTGGTTTAGTCCTGGTTTAGACCTGGTTTAGACCTGGTTTAGTCCTGGTTTAGTCCTGGTTTAGACCTGGTTTAGTCCTGGTTTAGTCCTGGTTTAGACCTGCTTGCTGCTCTATGAGAAACATTAAAGTCATACTTTGGAACATACTGGGCAAATCAGCCACACCTCCATGAGAACATTTGGGTCAAACTTCAAAATGTTTTAATATTGTCTGATCAGTTCCTGAAATGTTCCACATTGGAGCTTTAATAATATTTGTTGTTGCTTCAGATCTGAACTCTTCAGCAGAGCAGCAGTTTGACGCTCTCACCACCTCCAACATCGTCCCCATGCTCCCGGAGTTTAAGAGTGAGTCCTCCACTGACCCTCTGACCCTCTGACCCTCTGACCCTCTCCTCTGACCCTCTCCTCTGACCCCTCTCCTCTGACCCTCTGCTCCTCTGACCTCTGCTCCTCTGCTCCTCTGGCCCTCTCCTCTGACCCTCTCCTCTGACCCTCTGACCTCTCCTCTGCTCCTCTGCTCCTCTGCTCTGACCCTCTGACCCTCTGACCCTCTGACCCTCTGACCCTCTCCTCTGACCTCTGCTCCTCTGCTCTCCTCTGACTCCTCTGCTCCTCTGCTCCTCTGACCCTCTGCTCCTCTGCTCCTCTGACCCTCTGACCCTCTGCTCCTCTGCTCCTCTGACCCTCTGCTCCTCTGACCCTCTGACCCTCTCCTCTGACCCTCTGCTCTCTGACCCTCTGACCCTCTGCTCCTCTGCTCCTCTGACCCTCTGACCCTCTGCTCCTCTGCTCCTCTGACCCTCTGCTCCTCTGCTCCTCTGCTCCTCTGACCCTCTCCTCTCTTTGTTTCTTTCAGAGATCTGGACTTACTTTCACAACACTCTCCTCCCGAGATATGCGTGGCTCTACGGAGGACTGAACGTGGTGACCGGTCCAGTGTTCGATTATGACTTCAATGGACGATATGACTCCTCAGACCAGATCCTTCAGTAAGTCCTGGTTTAGTCTTGGTTTAGGGTTAAGGGTCCTTCCCGTCCTTCAGTGTCTCTGGGATCATCTCCAGATCTTGAGCTCGTCTCGGTCAGGACTACCTTAGCTAGTAGTTGTGCATGTTTTGGGTTGATAATTCCATTTTTTTTTTTTTCCATGTCTGTTCCAGGTTCGTTCCGGGCTCTAGAATTCCTGTTCCGACACATTTCTTCATCGTCCTGACAAGCTGCTCAAACTCATCGTTTTCAGTCCTGAGCTGTGACCAACCACTGCAAACACTGTCCTTCATACTGCCCCACAGAGCCCCGACAGAGAACTGTGAGGTAATACTACTACTACTGTACTACTACTACTACTACTACTACTACTACTACTACTACTACTACTACTACTACTGCTACTACTACTACTACTACTACTACTACTACTACTACTACTGCTACTACTACTACTACTACTACTGCTACTACTACTACTACTACTACTACTACTGCTACTACTACTACTACTACTACTACTACTACTACTACTACTACTGTACTACTACTACTACTACTACTACTACTACTACTACTACTACTACTACTACTACTACTACTACTACTACTACTACTACTACTACTACTACTACTACTACTGCTACTACTACTACTACTACTACTACTACTACTACTACTACTACTACTACTACTACTGCTACTGCTATTACTACTACTACTACTACTACTCTCCCCCTTGAACTGCCACCTTATCGTGGTGGGGGAGTTTGTGTACCCGAATGATCCTAGGAGCTATGTTGCCCGGGGCATTATGCCCCTGGTAGGGTCTCCCATGGCAAACAGGTCCTAGGTGACGGGGCAGACTAAGAGCAGTTCATAGAACCTCTATGAATAGTTTAAAAACAAGGACCGTTACGTCGCCCGGTATGGCGCAGCCGGGGCCCCACCCTGGAGCCAGGCCTGGGGTTGGGGCTCGAAAGCGAGCGCCTGGTGGCCGGGCCTTTGCCCACGGGGCCCGGCCAGGCTCAGCCCGAAGGGACGACGTGGGCCCGCCCTCCTGTGGGCTCACCACCCGCAGAGGGTTTCATAGGGGTCGGGTGCGCTGTGAACTAGGCAGAGGTCGGGGTCAGGGATCTCGGCAACCCAGTCCACGGACACAGAACCTGGCTGTAGGGACGTGGAACGTCACCTCACTGGGGGGGAAGGAGCCTGAGCTTGTGCGGGAGGTTGAGAGGTACCGGCTAGATATAGTCGGCCTCACCTCCACGCACAGCTTGGGCTCTGGTACCCAACCTCTCGAGAGGGGTTGGACCCTCCATTTTTCTGGTGTTGCCTGCGGGGAGCGGCGGCGAGCTGGTGTGGGCTTGCTTATAGCCCCACAGCTCAGCCGCCACGTGTTGGAGTTCACCCCAGTGAACGAGAGGGTCGCGTCCCTGCGCCTTCGGGTCGGGGACAGGTATCTCACTGTGGTGTCGGCCTACGGGCCGAACAGCAGTGCTGAGTACCCAGCCTTCTTGGAGTCCCTGGGAGGGGTACTAGATAGTGCACCAACTGGGGACTCCGTTGTTCTACTGGGGGACTTTAACGCCCACGTGGGCAACGCCAGTGACACCTGGAGAGGGGTGATTGGGAGGAACGGCCTCCCTGATCTGAACCCGAGTGGTGTTCTGTTATTGGACTTCTGTGCTAGTCACAGTTTGTCCATAACAAACACCATGTTCGAGCACAAGGGTGTCCATAAGTGCACGTGGCACCAGGACACCCTAGGCCGGAGGTCGATGATCGACTTTGTCGTCGTGTCATCTGACCTCCGGCCGCGTGTCTTGGACACTCGGGTGAAGAGAGGGGCTGAGCTGTCAACTGATCACCACCTGGTGGTGAGTTGGATCCGCTGGCGGTGGAGGAAGCCGGAAAGACCTGGCGTGTCGTGAGGGTCTGTTGGGAACGTCTGGCGGAACCCTCTGTCAGAGGGATCTTCAACTCACACCTCCGGGAGGACTTCTCCCGGATTCCGGGGGAGGTTGGAGATATGGAGTCCGAGTGGGCTCTGTTCTCCACCTCCATTGTCAATGCGGCCGCCCGTAGCTGTGGGCGTAAGGTCTGTGGTGCCTGTCGCGGCGGCAATCCCCGAACCCGGTGGTGGACACCGGAAGTAAGGGATGCCGTCAAGCTGAAGAAGGAGTCCTATCGGGTCTTGTTGGCTCGTGGGACTCCTGAGGCAGCTGATGGGTACCGACGGGCCAAGCGTGAGGCAGCTCGTGCGGTCACAGAGGCAAAAACTCGGAGCTGGGAGGAGTTCGGGGAGGCCATGGAGAAGGACTATCGGACGGCCTCAAAGAGATTCTGGCAAACCGTCCGGCGCCTCAGGAGGGGGAAGCAGTTCTTCACCAACACTGTTTACAGTGCAGGGGGAGAGCTGTTGACCTCGACTGGGGATGTAGTCGGACGGTGGAAAGAATACTTTGAGGATCTCCTCAATCCCACCGCCACGTCTTCCAAGGAGGAAGCAGAGACTGGGGACCCAGAGGCGGACTCGTCCATCACCCTGGCTGAAGTCACTGAGGTGGTTGGCAAGCTCCTTGGTGGCAAGGCTCCGGGGGTGGATGAGATCCGTCCTGAGTATCTTAAGTCTCTGGATGTTGTGGGGCTGTCTTGGCTGACACGCCTCTTCAACATCACGTGGCGGTCGGGGACAGTACCTCTGGACTGGCAAACCGGGGTGGTGGTCCCTCTGTATAAGAAGGGGGACCGGAGGGTGTGTTCCAATTACAGGGGAATCACACTCCTCAGCCTTCCCGGTAAGGTCTATGCCAGGGTACTGGAGAGGAGAATCCGCCGGATAGTCGAACCTCGGATTCAGGAGGAGCAGTGTGGTTTTCGTCCTGGCCGTGGAACACTGGACCAGCTCTACACTCTCCATCAGGTGCTCGAGGGTTCATGGGAGTTTGCCCAACCAGTCCACATGTGCTTTGTGGACTTGGAGAAGGCATTCGACCGTGTCCCTCGTGGTGTCCTGTGGGGGGTGCTCTGGGAGTATGGGGTTCGGGGCCCTTTGCTAAGGGCTGTCCGGTCCCTGTATGACCGGAGCAGGAGCTGTGTTCGCATTGCCCACAGTAAGTCAGACCTGTTCCCGGTGCATGTTGGACTCCGCCAGGGCTGCCCTTTGTCACCGGTTCTGTTCATTGTATTTATGGACAGAATTTCTAGGTGCAGTCAGGGGCCGGAGGGGGTCTGGTTTGGGGACCACAGGATCTCATCTCTGCTGTTTGCGGATGATGTTGTCCTGTTGGCTTCATCGAACCAGGACCTGCAATGTGCACTGGGGCGGTTTGCAGCCGAGTGTGAAGCAGCTGGGATGAGGATCAGCTCTTCTAAGTCTGAGGCTATGGTTCTCGACCGGAAAAAGGTGGCTTGCCCTTTCCAGGTGGGTGGGGAGTCCCTGCCTCAAGTGGAGGAGTTCAAGTATCTCGGGGTCTTGTTCACGAGTGAGGGGAGGACGGAACGTGAGATTGACAGGCGGATCGGTGCAGCTTCGGCAGTGATGCGGTCGCTGTATCGGACCGTTGTGGTGAAGAGGAGCTGAGTCGAAAGGCGAAGCTCTCGATTTACCGGTCAGTCTTCGTTCCTACTCTCACCTCTGGTCATGAGCTCTGGGTAGTGACCGAAAGGACGAGATCGCGGATACAAGCGCTCGAAATGGGTTTCCTCCGCAGGGTGGCTGGGCGCTCCCTTAGAGATAGGGTGAGGAGCTCAGTCACACGGGAGGAGCTCGGAGTAGAGCCGCTGCTCCTCCACGTCGAGAGGAGCCAGTTGAGGTGGCTCGGGCATCTGTTTCGGATGCCTCCTGGGCGCCTCCCTCGGGAGGTGTTCTGGGCATGTCCCACCGGGAGGAGGCCACAGGGAAGACCCAGGACACGCTGGAGGGACTATGTCTCTGGGCTGGCCTGGGAACGCCTCGGGGTCCCCCTGGAGGAGCTGGAGGACGTGTCTGGGGTGAAGGAAGTCTGGGAGTCCCTGCTTAGGCTGCTGCCCCCGCGACCCGGCCCCGGATAAGCGGACGAAAAATGGATGGATGGATGGAAAAGAGATTTGGACTGTGCCAAGGCTTACATCAGAGGTTATATAATATCATAGCATCATTAATCATATCATAAGAATAAAAGAGGCAAGGCAGCATGAACAGGAGCTTAACATAACAAGACTCAAGCAGAGAACAGAGAACTTGACAGCTTGATTACTGAAAAAAATAGAGGCCAATTTAAGATTTACTAAACAAAAATACTATGAAAATGGCGACAGGGCAATATGGTACAAAAATTTAAATCTGATCAAACAATAATTACTAAACCAGACAAAATCACAAATTGCTTTGCAGACTATTATAAATCTCTGCATAAAAACTGACACATGTAAATATAACCATGTATGAATAAGATTTTCTCCAGGAATCAATGGCAAGGAGAAAATTAAGTTTGTCGACTGGACAAAAATTTGTTTAGTTGAAGACGTTTTGCAGTTCATCCAAGCTGCTTCTTCAGTTCTGGTCAGACGCTGGTGGACACTTCCTTATATCTGCAGGAGGAGCTAACTACACTGAAACTAACACATCTACTTGTTTAATCAGTTACTTCTGTCGACACCTAAGTTTAAAGTGTAAAGGATTCCTCTTTTCTGCTGATCTTTTAGTGTCCTTTTCCAGCTTTCTTACCAGTCCAACAGTAGCTGGCTTGTAGTTGTTCTCGAGATGTGTGAAGAATCCCTTCGCAGCTAATCCAAGCTGTAGACACTTCCTTATATCTGCAGGGAAGAAGCAGCTTGGATGAGCTGCAAAACATCTTCAACCAAACTAACTTTTTTCCAGTCGACAAACTGAATTTTCTCCTCACCATGGATTCTACCTGGACGACTAAGGGATTCTTCACACATCCAGGAATCAATAGCAAACCAACTGGATGAACCAATTAGAGCACAGGAAATTCAGCAAGTGATTTTTAATTTAAGATTTAACAAAAGCTCTGGCCCTGATGTCTTCATGAATGCATTTTATAAACAATTGAAGGAAAAGGTGTCCCCTTTACTGCTACAAACTCACCACTCATCAGTCATACAGACCAATAATATGACTTCACACAGACAGAATGAATAACAATGACAGAGATTATAAACCCAAACCAAATGGGGTTCATAACAGGAAGGCACTATGAGGACAATGGTAAATGTGATGTCCTTTTCCAAAACTAAACTAGACAAAGAATTGATACTGTCTTTAGATGCCCAAAAGGCATTTGGCCGTGTGTCCTGGCAGTTCCTGAAGCACACACTGAAAAGATTTAAATTTGGCTCAAATTTCATTAAATAGATACAAAGCTTATATTTTAACCCATTAGCCAGTGTAAAGGTAAACCGAACAATGCCCATTCCATATTCCACAGGTGTCAAACATAAGGCCCGGGGGCCAGATCCGGCCCTCCAAGACCTTTAATCTGGCCCTCGGCTGATTTTCTACTAAAATATTTTAATTGGTAATTTGGTTTCCAGTGCCTCTGTGCGTGGCCCCTCCCACCAGAGCAGCACAAATGAAGACTTGATTCTTTCCAAACTCTCTTAAAGGACGATCGTTTTGACTGTTGACCGTGACACCCTCATCAGAAAAATGTCCAACATGAGAAAAGTGGACGCAGAGTGAAAAATTTACTTACTCCTATTTGCATATGAGTTCATGTTAAAACATTGTGTTGAAATTGCATTTTTCTTAAAGTTTCAGGTTGTTCATAATATTATAATATTTTATAAAAGAAAGAGTTCATCAATTAAAAAAGATTTTTGTAATAGATTTGCATTTCTCTGCACAAATATTTGAACTTATTGTTATTTTTGGGGTTTATATGCCATGAGTTTTCTGATCCCCTTTGGGATGAAAATAGGTTGGATACAGCCCCCGGACCAAAATGAGTTTGACACCCCTGCCATATTCAGTGGGACGTGGCTGTAGACAGGCTGCTCATTGTCGCCCCTGCTGTTCGATATAAGTATTGAAACGCAATTAATTAGAGATGAAGGCGATATTCACGGACTTCCAGTAAACGCAAATAACATAAACTGTCCATACATGCTGACGATGTACTGCTACATGTATCCAACCCTGTAACAACTATTCTCCATCTGAAGAAACTAATCAATAAATTTGGTCTTTCAGGTTACAACACTGACAAAAAACTGGTAATGGATATAGTGGGCAACATGACACACACCTTTAAGAACCAGAGTAGATTTCAACGGCCAAAAGAAGGGATACTATTTCTGTATATCCCCATGTCTAACCCAAGTGTATGATATAAACTATAAGGTTATAATAGAGAAAATTTGAAAAGATCTGAGAGTGATGGACAGTCCTGCCTCCTGTCCTGTTTTTCTCTGTCATATAAAAAGTTGATGTATTAAAATGTTGCCAAGACTCCTGTTTCAGATGCTGCCTATAAATATCCCCAATTCTACATTTGATGAATTAGAGAAGGTTTTTTTTTTTAAAACTTATATGCCATAGGATCAAGTTGCAAACATTAAAATGATCAAAATCACAGGGAGAACTTGCAGTCCCTTTAAACCTTAAACATTATTTTTGGGCAGCTCAAATGAGACCTTTGATTGCTTGGATTCAGGACTTGAAAAAGGTTTATGGGATTGTTCGTTGAGGTCTCTGACTTTCTCAAATGTTCCAGTTAAAGGTGTGCAAATGAGTGAGTGGAGCAGGGTTACACTGAAGATCTGACAGAAAGTAAAGCAGTCATTTGTTCTTCCAAAAGAAATGTCAGTTCTTTAAGATATCTCCTCTCTCCAGGGCTTTGTCCCCTCTCATACTGATATGGGCTTTAAAACATGCTCGACTTACAGTCTTAGTAAAGGATCCCATGTTGTGGGGTTGTCTGAAGTCCTTTGAACAGTTGACAGAGCAGTTTTGGCTTCCCTCTTAATGAATGAATTATTTAATCATTGCATATATATAGGCCCTTTCAAGACACCCAGAGCCTTTTACAGTTTAGTATTCATTCACTCCACACTCAGTGATGGTAGGTTACTTTTGTAGCCACAGCTGCCCTGGGACAGACGAGGACGATGGAAGCGAGGCTGCCAATCTGCGCCATCAGCCCCTCTGACCACCACCATCACTCACACACACACACACACACACACCACTTTCTTACTAGGCAATGTGGGTGAAGGACATAACCTAAGGACATAACAACAGTTTTTGACAGTGGCGCCCCCCTGTGGCTCCTGATTTTCCCAGCGTCTCCATCCAAGAACAAACCAGACCCGGCCCTGCTGGGTTCCGAGGTCTGAAGGGATCGGGCTTTGACAAAGACGTGTGGCCATGGCTCTTCAGAGTTCTTTAGATACCTACAGCTCAGGAGTTTTTCTTTTTTTAACAAAACACAAGGAATGGAGGAAAGTTGTAGAACTTTTTGAGGCTACAAAAGGGCAACAGACTTTCAAAGGCTGTGAGCCTTTTTACAAAGGTTTAGTCATAATATCCTAAATAAAAAAGGAAAGGAGGGAGGCTGAGATTGGTACTGAAATGACTAATGAGAAGTGGGAGAGGTCTGCACTGAAGCACACCTAAGAAGTGAGAAATGTTGCTGTGTGGAGGGAGTTCCTGATACCTGTGGGTGAAACTGTGGTACTTACTGTTCCAAGAAACTCATACTCACATATTCTGGAAAGATGAATCTGTTCTGGAATGGTGTTTTCACAGCTCTTAATAGACTGTTTCTGTGACCATTTGTTAAAGAACCACAGCTTGTTATTTTAGGGTTAATTTCAGATGGTTTTGGAGAAAACAGTAAAAAAAAAAAAAAAACTTCTTAAGAATTTTTGCACTTAAGTGTATTACCAGTAAATGTCTGAGCCATGATCCGCCCACTTTTTGGATTGAGTTTCGAGTTTCTTCTTACTTGGGACTTTTGTTGTTTCAGAGCTCGGGGGCAGAGTCTGTGTGGGTGGAGGACCTGATGTGGTTCCACCAATCACGCGTCAGGGATGTGGAGTGGCTCACGGGATTGGACTTTTATCAGGGCAGCTCTCGACCAATCCCAGAACTGCTGCAGATGAAGACCCGCCCCACCGCCGACATCCACCGAAAACAAGAGCAGCCGCCATTTTAGGACTGTACAGGAGGAAATAGAGCTGGTTAATATAAATTTTAAATATTTATGTACGAGATTCTAACTTAACTGTGACACTTTGTTATTGCACTTTTTTGATTGTTTTTAAAGAGGGGGTGTTCTGCCAAATGTACTTTTTGGAGCTTTCGACCAAGTTATAACATTGTTCCCTCATCATCAAGAAAAAAAAAAAAAAAAGTCATCCACGTTTGAGTAATCTAGTGATCTAGTGACTCCAATTCTAAGTTCAAAGTTAGCTTTATTGTCAATTTGTTCACATGTACTAGACATACCAAAGGAACCGAAATGATGTTTCTCTCATGCACAGACAAGGACTGGGAGAGCGAGAGGCCGCTACGTCTGCACGCGCTGCTGTTCAAATCAGAAAAAACATTCAAGTTCAGCTGCAGCAGACTGTTGGAGTTACGTGTCCTTTGTGTCTCAGTCAAAGGTGTGAGTGCAGTTTAAGTGGAGGACTTGTTAGGGAGGGTCAGCAGATCTGTGTCAGAGCAGTTTGACACACAGTTTTGACGCTCTTCCTCTGCTTACTCCACTTCACTTGGTATTGAGAAAACGTCGCTCCTCTTTCTGTAACTGCTGCTGTGAGCCTCTTCATTTTGGTCTCTGAAATCAATTCCAAATTCACTCCTATAACTACCAGCGTCATGACTTTCATTTTACTGGAAACAAACACTGTGGGTGACGTGGCTGAGCAAAGGAAGGGGAGACTCAAAGCATCAAAACCAAGCAAAATGTATAAAATATGTTAATACACTGTTTTGCGTGAATACAGAATTTTCAAAATAAGAAAAGGAAACATGGTGATCTAAATATGTCATGTGTAAGCAGTTAAACCCCCACAGAAGTCAAATACCCCCTCTTTAAGGGCGCAATCACACCGCTAGCTCGATTATTTGGTCCGCACCAATCAATAAAATGATATTATATTATGTAGAATCTAGACTCGAGTGTGTTCCTCTTTCACTTCTGCAAACCAACCAAAACTGGTCTGAGGCTCCTTCGCACAGTGGGTTCCACTGACTCCCTTTCCCTCTCAAGCAGAAGCAGGCCTCCCGCTCCCCAGGCCAGGCGTCCGGACCCGTCGGAGCGTTGGAGGGGGTTGGCGCGCTCAATTCGGGAGTCCGAGCCTGCCTTCCCATGATGCATTTGGAATAGTTTGTTTGCCTCTTCTGTCTATGTTTGGACCCGTGTTCACGTTCTCACCAGAGGGATGGCACCAGAGTTTGGCATTTGGCATTTTGGACCGAGACCAGCTCCTTTTTGAGGTTTCGGTCCGTTTGATTAAGTGCAGATCCGAGCGTGACTGAAGCTTTCACAAGAACGAAAACCAACTCAACTAAAAGCTTCTGGTTCCAATGGAATGTTTGGTGCACCAACTGCTGCCAGCGTGAGTGCGCCCTAAGTCATTTTCTTTTGTTAGAATTCAAAGATAATTTAAACACAATTATTCTTCTGCCTTTATATTTGTATGTATAAATTATCTGTAACACACTGAATAAATGCTGATGTTAAAGATGATGATCACTTATTATTATCTCCCGTCCTCCTGTGTCCTTGAGTGTTAGTCTGAGATAGAGCTGGTCACATGTCTCTAGTTAATCTGTCGATGTTGTTGTGTGTTAGATGCCCTCACGGGTGCTGCGGTGTGGTGTGGTTGGAGAAATGCAGAAGGAGAATGGAGCTTGGAAAATATTAGTGGATATATATATATATATATATATATATATATATATATACATATATTATATATTATATATATATATATAATATATATATATATATATATATATATATATATATATAATATATATATATATATATATATATATATATATACATACATACATACATACATATATAAAAAAAAAAAAAAAAATGTGTTTCTCACCTTCCACGGTGGGTTGGTCTCTCACCCTCATTGAGCTCGGGTCGTCTACCAGAGGCCTGGGAGCTTGAGAGTTCTGCGCAGTATCTTTGCTGTTCCCAGTATGCACTTTTCTGGACTGAGATGTCCGTTGTATATATATATATATATATATATATATATATATATATATATATATATATATATATATATATATATATATATATATACATATATATATATATATATATATATATATATACATATATACATATATATTATATATATATATATATATATATATATATATATATATATATATATATATATATATATATATATATATATATATATATATATATATATATATATATATATATATTACATATGAAAATACCAGAGAAGGAAACAGATTACTGGCATCCTGCCCTCATGGCATCGTTTAACCATATTTGTCCTGTTCAGCTGACTTCTCTGTTCTCTCTTCCTTAAACGCTGCCGTAACGGAAACACTCAAAGAGGAACCAAACCTCTTTCCTTTTTTTCAGCAGAACACTTTGTATGTTACACACTTTCTTGCCTTGTGGGCATGCATGGAAGAGTGAACCAAAGAGAAAAAAACTGTTTAAGAAGTCACATCCGAACTTCCTGTTTAAACAGTCAAACAGGTAAAAGAGGCAGGTGACGAACAGCCCCGAGCAGAAAACTACACAGCGACCCAAAACTGCTAAAAGAGCGGCCAGTGTGCACAGTTCACATTTTGGAGCTTGTTCTAACATTGTTCCCTCATCAAAAACATGCCTGAAGTGGTTTAGATGTTTAGATGCATGTTTGAGTTATTTCGTGATCTTCCCCATGTCAAAAAACAAAACAAAATGAATTTAAAGAGCACATTTTCAGGAGCCTGAGATCAGTGCGAGCGCTCATGGTCCTGTTTAGGAGTTTGATTTTCAACTCAAAGATGAGAGTGACTCACTGAAAAACTGTTGGCTGATACTTAGAGAGTGAGAGAGACATCTGTATGGTCAAATAGTGTTAAAATAAACCTCAGATTAAAGTTTAACAACCATGGTATCGCTTCCTTTTATTTTATCAGACCTTTGGCACACTTAGTATGAACAAGTCTAGACCAGTACGGATCGCCATGGCAACTGGTTTTATCTTGGCAGCAGGTAATGTTTAGACCAAAATAACTAGTTATTCCCCCTACTGATAGTCAGATGGAGCGGGAATCATCACGTCATATAAAACTGTAATGATACCCACTGTTACAGTTTGGGCTGGACGTTTTACTGTCCCTGGAGGTAAACCTGTCCTCTGCATTTGACCCATCCTTCAGTGTCTCTGGAGCAGGACCCATCTCCAGATCTTGGTCTAGTCTAGTCTTGGTCAGGACTACCTTAGCCTATATTTTCATGGAATGAAGCAGGCGGTGGACGCTACACCAGAATTGTTCCACAGTGAAGCTTTAATGACCAGAGGAACAGACGTGTGAATAAAGCAGCCAGTTGTGTGTTTTGTCCCAAACTGTGTAACTGTGAACACCAGAGCAAAGTCTAGTCCCTTGAAATATTCCACTGTTTGGAATTCCACTTCTACAAAAGTCGTGTGCGTCAGATGCTCTGGTCAGACGTCCAGGTTCATTTACTTTGATGAAATCCTAGTATTTTGGTAACAGTCAGAGTGCATATGACACCATTGCACAACAAAGTAAACACAAGAGTGTTAATGTCCATGTTCTTGTGATGATTTGTTCAGTGAGGCTGTTTTTGTGGTACAGATGTATCGCAGTTTGGAAATGTAAGCAGCAAGTGGCAGTTTGTGAAGAAAGGCAGATTCCACTATTCATTTCTGCATGAAACAAAGGTAATATTTAAGATTTGACAAAAAATCTTGCCTGGTCTTTACTGGTTGAACATAGACAGCAGATGTGACATGCACAGAGGTAACTCCAGAACTGTTCTGTAGAGGCTAAATTACATAACAGTTCAATACAAATACAAATACAAATACAAATACATGACAACAGTTTTATTGAGTTAAATGAAGGTTTAAAGTGTCAGAAAGTCCTTCCTTGTGTGTGAACTGTCTCTGTATTTTGCAGAAGGAACACATTTTTATGAAAAGGTCATGTAAATGTGACATACTGTATACCATAGCTACTGTGTAATTTAGACATGTTTTAGTCCTTTTTTACATTATGGTTGCTAGGTAACAAGAACCAGGGAAATGCTATATATATATATATATATATATATATATATATATATATATATATATATATATATATATATATATATATATATATATATATATATATATATATATATATATTTATATATATGGAATCTCTTCATGCTTAGTGTGTTTAGTGAGAAGTGCTGTGTTATGTGTCACATGCACTGTCACACTGACACAGCTGAGCAATGGGTGAGTCAAATCTGATCTTAACTGGACTTTTGTGACAAGTTTCCTGAAACTGCTGAGTGCGCTCTTCTGAAGATCATAAACGTTTCTTTGCTCACATTTTACATATTTTACTTATGAAATCTTGTTCAGTTTATTGTGATGTAATGTGATGTAACGTGGTGAGTGATACAGAGCTGAGTCACCAGGAGGCGCCACGCTCTCACATGTGGGTTTACAACATTCTCATCATTTATTTATGTTTATCTCTCTGTCAGATGCCCTCAAAGCTTTTTTACACTGATCAACTGCAGCACAAGAATCACCACAGAGGCACACAAAAACACACCTGACCTGACTTCCACGGATTCAGTATTATTATGATTATTATTATTATTGTTATTATTATTATTATTATTATTATTATTATTATTATTGTCCCACATTTCATTTATATAATGCTAAATCAGCTCAAACTCACACACACACACACACACACCCCAACACACACACACAAACATACACACACACACAAACAGAAGCTTCTGAATGAATCATTCTTACGTCAGAGTGGGCGAGGCCAGACACTATAAAGAAACAACTCCAGCAGCATGAGCCCAAGGTACTATTACTGCTGTTACTACTACTACTACTACTAGTACTTCTACTGGTAGTATTACTACTACTGCTGCTGCTGCTGCTGCTGCTGTCACTACTACTGTAACAAGAACTAAATATGGTGAGTACACATCTTTGATAATTATAAAGACAGATGTAATTTTTAACAGCTGCTGATACTGCGATTACTACCATTATTACCATTACTACTATAATGTAGTATAATAGTAGTAGCAGTACAATAGCAAGTAGCAATTATCAGTGTATTATTGTTATTATTGTTGTTACTGCAATCAGGACTGGAGCAGATGTGAGAACTACTACTACTACTACTACTACTTCTACTACTACTACTACTACTACTACTACTACTACTACTACTACTACTACTACTACTACTACAACTACTACTACTACTACTACTACTACTACTACTACTATTACTACTACTACTTACTAAGTAGTTCTGGGGCACCAGTCAAAAACTGTCTGCAAGGCACTCAGTCAGCAGCTGAGGCTCAGCGTGGTGTGCATGAGTAGGCTGGAGGTGGGAGGGGCAGATGGTGCAGATTGGCAGCCTCAATTCTGTCACTCTGCCCTGGGGCAGCTGTGGCCACTATAGTATTTCACCAGCACAGAGTGAGGACTTGGCCTCTGAGTGTCTGGAAGAGATCTTTATAAGATTAATGTATTATGATTCTTTGTGTATTTTTATAATTCAGTATACTGCAGCAAGGATGTGAATAGTCCTGGTTTAAACCTGGAATAGTCCTGTTATAGACCTGGTTTAGTTCTGGTAGTACCACATTTGTCTTAGATCAGGGGTGTCAAACTCAGATTCACAGAGGGCCAAAAGTCGTGAGCCAAACTAAATATTGATTGAAAAATGTCAACAATATCTGCATGTTTTCTCTTCTTTCAAGATCTGTAATGTTAAACCTTTTCTTATTAAAATAAATGTTTAATAATAGTTTTGCTTAAACATTGAATCCAGAATAAGCATCATATAAAATAATAACATTTTAAATAAATCATGTCTCTATAGTCTATCTGTGTGTGGCGGGCAGCTCTAATACAGATTTGATTTGATCTCGTGGGCCAAATATAATTATATCAGTGTGGCCCCCGAGTCTGACACGTCTGTCTTAGATGGAACTTGATGTGAAAAGTTTGAAAACCTGCAGTAAATCTACTACTTACCTACTACTACTACTACTGATACTACTACTATAACTACTACTACTACTGCTGCTGCTGCTACTACTACTACTACTACTACTACTACTACTACTACTACTACTACTACTACTACTACTACTACTACTACTTACTGTCACTGGCAGTTTGTGCACATTTTCTATACAAATGATCAATATTGTAATACTTAAATATAAATGTGAGCATTTATAATATATTAGTATTATAGTAGTAGTAGTAATATTAGTAGTACATGAGTACTGCATCATACTTCATACTTGTTGATCTCAGGCAACACACTTGCCCAACCTATTATCTGTCCTCCTCCTCTCTCTCTCTAAGAACAATCAGGAAATATAATAATAATTACTTTGTTACTGGCTCGGGCCAATAATAATAATAATAATAAGAAGAAGAAGAATACATTTTAAAATGGATTCTAAACTGTCCATGGAGCCAGTGCAGGATGTAAGTGTAAGTGTGATGTGGTCCCTTGGTTGCAGGCGGCTGAGCCGGGCCAGTGCAGCACACAAACACTTAGAGTCATCGAGCCGTGAGGTCACACGTGCATGAATTGTGACGGATGATCATTAGATCATTTTTATTACTCGAACATAAAAGGTGTCAGATGTCATCCGTGTGTGTCAGTAGATTAGATGACACTGCAGTTTTCTGTTCTTTTATATGTTGAATCAGTGGTTTTATTTGTAACACTAAAATCTGCTGCCATGTGGATTAGATGAGTCATTTGCTGAGTGAGAGGCTCAGACTGTCCTAAAAAATACTACAGTCTGTGGGTAAAAGTGGAGAGGATGTCAGCAAGTACAGACTCACAGCAAGAGGAGCAGAGAAGAGGGTCAGAGGGTCAGAGGAGAGAGTCAGAGGGTCAGAGGGTCAGAGGGTCAGAGAGTCAGAGGGTCAGAGAGTCAGAGAGAGAGTCAGAGAGTCAGAGGTCAGAGAGTCAGAGAGTCAGAGAGAGAGTCAGAGTCAGAGGGTCAGAGAGTCAGAGAGTCAGAGAGAGTCAGAGAGTCAGAGGGTCAGAGGAGCAGAGTCAGAGAGAGAGTCAGAGGAGAGAGGGTCAGAGGGTCAGAGAGCAGAGAGAGGGTCAGAGCAGAGGAGTCAGAGGGTCAGAGGAGTCAGAGGGTCAGAGAGAGAGTCAGAGAGTCAGAGAGTCAGAGGTCAGAGGGTCAGAGAGAGAGTCAGAGAGGTCAGAGGAGCAGAGGGTCAGAGGAGCAGAGGGTCAGAGAGTCAGAGAGTCAGAGGGTCAGAGGAGAGAGTCAGAGGAGCAGAGGGTCAGAGGATTGACGGTGTGTTTCTTCTCCTCAGATTTGGACTGCTCTGCTCGTGTCTCTGCTCGTGTCTTCGGCTCTGTCCTCGGCGGAGCCTGAGCGCGGCGCGGAGGAGACGTTTCGCGGCGTGGACCCGGTGAGCGGCGCGGAGGTCACGTGTAGACAGTGTCCCCCGGGAAAGTTCCTCCGGCAGCGGTGCACGGCGCAGCGGCAGAGCGTGTGTGAGGAGTGTCCCCCCGGCTCCTTCACGGCGCTCTGGAACCACATCAGCCGCTGTCTGCGCTGCGGCGTCTGCGGCAGGAACATGGAGGAGACGCGCCGCTGCAGCCGCGACCGCGACTGCGACTGTCAGTGTAAACCCGGCTTCTACTACAGCCAGCGCGCCGGCATGTGCGTGCACTGGACCGAGTGCCCCACCGGGCACGGGGTCACTGCGCCAGGTGAGACCAGGACTAAACCAGGACTGAACCAAGACTGAACCAAGACTAACCCAGATCTAAACCAGGACTAACCCCGGTCTTGTCCCTGCAGGAAGTCCATTTACGGACGCAGTCTGTGCCTCATGTCCGAACGGGACCTTCTCAGACCAGGTCTCCTCCGAGGCCACATGCTCCGCCCACAAGACATGCCCCGCCCACGAGAAGGCCGTCATCAAGGGCAACAGCTGGCACGACACTGTGTGCGCCCCATGCCACGAAGCAAGACAGAAAGGTGAACCAGCAACCTCTGACCCTCTCCTTTGCCCCTCTGACCCTCTCCTCTGACCCTCTTCTTTTCCTCTGACCCTCTGCCCCTCCCCTCTGACCTTCTGCCCCTCTCTTCTGCTCCTCTGACCCTCTTCTTTTCCTCTGCCCCTCCCCTCTGTTCCTCTGTTCCTCTGACCTTCTCGTGTGCTCTTTCTGACCCTCTCTTCTGACCCTCTCTCTTAGACCCCGCGGACATCTTGAGGACCATCTTGCCATCCTTCTTCTCTCACCACACTCTGTCTCTGCGCCGTCTTCGTCAGGTGGTGAGTAAACTGGCCTCTGGTGACGGCAGAGCACTACAGCGACGAGTCTCAGGACTAAACCAGGACCAGCTCCGGTCCAGACTGGACCTATGGATCCGTAATTCCCGTCCAGACTATTTCAGAACTTTGCACCAGATCTTGACCGAGACCGGAGCCGTGTACACAGCCACGAAACTACAAAGCAAACTGGACCGAATCCAGAGCACGTTGGACCAGATCTGCCCCCCACAACAACAGATCTGCCCTACCACAACTGAACCAGGACCAAACGAAATCTGAACCAGGACTGAACCAGGACTAAACCAGGACTGAACCAGGACTAACCCAGGACTGAACTAGGACAAAACCAGGACTAAACCATGTAACTGGACTAAAAAAGGACTGAGACATGTTTAAGTGAGGTCTGAATTTGGACTAAAGCAGCAGGCCCACAGTCTGCTCTGCTGAATTATTTCAGATGTTTTCATTGTGGCTGTAAAGCACAAGGTCAGACCTGAGTTTGATCTGTTTAAAACAGGAGTCTCCAACCTCCAGCTCAGGAGTTACCAGTAGCTCTGCACCCTCTTCCAAGTAGCTCTCCAAGGGATTTCTGAATTACATGTATTGTACTGAATAAGTCTAATTTGATTAATTAAATGCCTCTTACCATTGTGCATGTATCATTTTGATGCCTAATTTTGTGCACTAATAAGTGGATAATGGTTTATGTTTTATAGACATCTAACTGTGCCTCATTTAAGGCTCGCTGTGGCTCTAAATTTCTTGTGACTGCTAAAACTAGTAGCTCTCTGTCATTATTGTTTTGTAAAGTAGCTCACCAGAGTTAAAAGGTTGGAGATGCCTGGTTTTAACGGTCCTACGTTACACAGAATTAACTTTACTTTAAGTCATGTTCGAATGTTTCCTCCTCAAAAACACACCTGGAACTGTTTTGTTTCATTAATCCATGCTTGAATATCTCTTTATTTTTAGTCTGTCCAAAGCAGAGTCCTGCACCGAGTCGGGTACAGGCAAATAATTGCTGAAACAATTGGGTTTTAACATTCTGGAATTTTACTGGGCGGGTATGCGGGCGGGTACACACGGGCAGGTCAAGAGTAAATCAGGACTACACCAGGACTAAACCAGGATTAATCTTGGACTTAAGAGAGAGAGAGAACTCCGTGCACGCGGAGATCTGCTCCAGTCCTTTCGCCTGCAGTCACCCGACAGTCTACATGGGCACACAGTGCCCTGGGTTAGTCCTGGGTCAGTCCTGGTTTAGTCTTAGTTCAGTCCATGGCGTGTGTGGTGCAGCTCAATCAGTGTTTCTTCTGCTCAGTAAATAAATCCTGTGGAGTGATGACAGTCGAGTCGCGTCTGTGAATCCGTGTTCGTACTGAAGAAAGCGTAACCGTTTCATTTCATTTCGTATTTATAATTCTTGTAGTCGTAACACATTCTGATGGATGCATCTCGGGTGGGTAGTGGATGGAATGTTCACGGGTCCAGGCGGGTGCGGGTTTAACTTTGATATAACCACGGGTTTATGGGCGGGTGCGGTGCTGAACTACACGGGTGCGGGCGGGTGCGGGTCTCCAAAAATGGACCAGTGCAGGACTCTGCTCCAAAGCTTAAAATGCTCTGTTCCACCTTGTGATGTCATGAAACAGTAGCATTCATGTTAACAGCTCCTTTTACGTTTTGCTCAGTAGAAATGGGCATTTCCAGGGATGAAATCATCCATATGATTCTAATAAAGGTGTACAGAATTTAAAAACACAGTGGAGCACTTCCTATATTACTACTTAATGACATCACAAAGTGGAACATTGTTTTCTGTTTGAGAGAAGAACTCTCGTAAATGTGCAGGGTTTGTGTGTTAAACATGTGAAGGAAACAAAACTCCAAGTGTGTTTGTGATGTGGAAATGATATAATAGTGCAATCTGAGCCCTTTCAGGTGTGTTTGTGAACCTGCTGCTGGAAGAGTTTACTCCGTCATTTGTCTGAGTACATTTAGTTTAAACTTGTGCAGCTCACTGTTTTTAATTTGTGTTTTTGTGTTTTGCTTCTTTGACTTGTAGCATTGTTGCTACATGACACCAGCACACTGTAGAATCCTCTGGTTCCACCGGAGCTGGAGCAGGTCAGAATTCTCAGGTGTTTTATCGTGGGATGATGTAGCGCCTCCCATAGGGCATTTGTACAAACTGCAGGCACACAGTTAGGCTGGCTCTCTGTGGCCTTAGTGTTTGTCCACACAGAGGCCAAGTCCTCCGTCACAGCACTCAGTGCATTTATCACAAGTTTGAAAGGTGAAAAGCGTCACTTCTCTGCTGGGCTCTTACAGCTCGTCTCTGTGGAGATGATGACACTTTTATCCATCTCGCATGTTTTTAATTACTGTCTTTTTTAATTGTTTTTAATACCTTGACAAACTTGAACTCTGACTGTGAGCGGGCTCGCCTCTCCACAGATCTGACCTATCATTCTTCTTGGTTTGTGCTGTTTGCGTGTATCTATGGATCTAGATCATTTCATTTCCTTATGGTGAAACATTTGGGGCAAAGAAATAAAATGTATCACTGAGTAATGTCTTTTTATTCATATTGTGGTTTTAATGTCTCTTATTTTGTGAAGCACTTACGATGACGAGCTGTGCTCTAGAACACATTCCAGTAAATGATGCAGTTGTTTTTGTTTTGTTACAACCTTGAAGCTACCTCCGACTTTTTGACCTTTGTTTTATGTAGAATTTTGCATTAATGTATTTGTGAATGTGGTTGTACTGCATTGTTTGTTTGTTTGTTTGTTAGTTAATAAAACTGAGAAATACTGAAATCTGTCTCTGCAGTTTTCTTACACTCAAAATGACTCTGGAGTTTATAGAGTCTGTGCAAAGAAGAGGACTCTGTCATAATAACCAAAGAGCCAATCAGGAGCAAGGCTGTTGAAGGTAACAGCCACTGAGCAGTGCTGTCATCATCATGATCGAGATCGATTAGTGGAAGCTCCAGGTACTGCAGCTGTAGCCCAGAAACAATTCTCCCATAGAGCGCAGTGCATTTTTGGTGAAATCAAACTTCCCATGCTGGGCTGCCAGGGCATCCAGAGCTTTCAGAAACATCCGATTTTGTAGGATTCTTCTGTTTTCTTATAATATGAACTGAAAAAAAAAAAAAAAAAAAAAAAAGTTTAATGGATAAAGGAAAAAAAAAAAAAAAAAAGAATAACAGCTGTTTCCTGTTTCCATGACTTAAAGTGAGATGCCAGACTGAACCAGAACTGAACCAGAACTGAACCAGGACTAAATCAGGTATAAACCAGGACTAAACTAGTCTCAGTCCTGGTCCCAGTCCCGGTCTGGTCCTGGTCTCAGTTCCGGTCTGGTCCTGGTCCCAGTCCCGATCACCCGACAGTCTCCCTGGGCGCACCTCCGGACCCTTCCCGAGGCTCAGTCTTGGTTCAGTCTTGGTTTAGTCCTGGTTCAGTCCGGTCTGGTCCCGGTCTGGTTCCGGTCTGGTCCCGGTCTGGTCACCCCGCTCGATTTAGTCCAAGTCCGCCATTTTTTCCAAATGAAAACACAGATACAGAGGACACCGGGCAGCCGCACTTGATCCTTCTGGGGCGAACACAGAGAATAGAGCAGATTTACTCAGGCAACCAAATTCCCAAACTTGAGTGACCTGGACGAGCGAATGAAGAAAATGAATCAAAAAAGGGAAGGGGCATTAACACATTTTATTTGTGGCAGACGCGTTCGGTCTGAACACGGCTTAACACTTGATTTTGTAATTGTGTTAAATGTTCATTTTTCATAATGTGGAAGAATGAAGTGTGAAATGTAGGACCACCCTCTCAAATCTGCAAAACACATTTACCAACACACTGAAGAGCCAACACACCAGGGGCCAACACACCAGGGGCCAACACACTGTAGAGCGCGGTCAGGCCATTGAGGCAATTTTGGTTCTATATGCCTCAGATAAAATATAGAACACTGATGTCCAATAAGGGTCAAGGTTGAGATGTGACAAAAAAGCAGGTATAAAAGAGCCAGTCACAGACTTTATTACACAGAGAGTCTGTGCCTGGGTGAAACTTTCCATAAAGAGATGCGACTGATGAAGAATTTAGAAATGAGAGAAGTCCATGTCTGGCACAAACAGAAGAAGAACACAAGTAAAGATGGTCACATACAGTATGTTGAGCACTTGATCTTTCTCCAGGTGTGAGTTTATAATAGTGAGGGATGGAGACTGTATATTTAACACAATGTTGTACATTTTTTTATTAGCCCCTTTTTATAAATATTTATATTCAGAATGTTCACCTGGAGTTTTCTTTATTCATTCTACAAAAAATAAATTTGAACAGAGGCTGCTCCCTCTCCTCCAGTGCACTTGTTTCAAGAAATTGATTTGATTTGATGAGCAAAGTTCTCTTTGTTTTACAAAAATAAAAAAACTACATTAACAACAATCTTTTATATACAGTGCTGTCTTGGGACCTCCTGCTCTCTGGGACCTCCTCTCACCTGGGACCTGCCTCCAGAGCAGCCTCAGAGCCGGGCTGGAGCTAACATTGGTGCACAAACATTTACACATCTGTCATTTAATTTGTCTTAGATGATGTGTGCGTATCTTGATATGTGTAGTAGTATTGGAAATGGAAGTAGGCTTTCCTGTAAGAGCCTGCGCTCAAAGAGAAGCGTTCAAAGTGATATGAAAGTGCAGACGAGGAGCACAACAGAAACAGAAAGCGTGGGCTTCAAACTGAAACCAAAACATTGAGAGTGCAGAAACTGTAACACACATGAAATACTCTCTGCCCTTATCTGTCCCTCTGTTATTGTTACTGGTAGACTCATGATCCTCACAGGGGAATCCCTTTAGAATGAGCTGGCTGAAATTCCTCTGTGTTTGACTCTTGGCATGGGCGTGTTTTTACATCATGCTCTGAAAACAAGTAAGTGTTTTTAAGCTCTACACTTACTGAAATACTGTGACTAATACTCAGTGATACTGCGATACTGTGACATTAATCACTCCAAATACAACTTCAGAAGGGTTGATGAGAAGGGAACAACTGTACCATGGTTGAAATCTCTGAAAAGTGGATTTTATAGAATAGGTCTGATTTAATGACATGTTTCTGAGTGTGTGTGTGTGTGTGTGTGTGTGTGTGCAGAGAAAACAAAAGCTCCACACAGAAACACTTGTAATCTGTTGTGTCCATAGTTCTCCTCAGAGCCTCAGTGAGAATGTTCAGAGGACCTGTTCAGTGCAGAACTCTCTCCGCTCTGACCACTGAGGTTTGGATGGGAGACACAGATGCAGTTCTGTGTTGTAATACAGTGAGTTCTTGGCTCTGGTCACTCGTAGATATGACCAGGTTCAACGTTTGTGAATTTACCTTCTGGAGATTTCATGGTAAAGTTCTGTGTGGTCAAAAGAGAAATCTGTCTCTGCCCCATCTGGGAGTATAACATCATCACATTCTAGAATATGAAAACCACCAATATCCAGCTCCAGACCTCTGTGGTGTCTGGAAAAATGAGCTGCTGAGCCGTTTAAACAATCAGTCTGCTTCATATTTAAACTTGTACCTGTTTTCACCCGTGTGTTCGAGTACAGATGTGTTGTACAGGCAGCCCGGGGTCAAAGTAAGTCCACTGTGGACTGACAGTATCTGATTATAAAGCACTTTATTGTCCGATAATCAGAACGTGTGTCGTTTGCACGCTAGTTGCTTTACAGTGTGTTTCTCAGGCCTGCCAACTTCTCACCAAAGCTTAGAGGAAAATTTGGTTTCAGCCCAAGTCCAGTGCGGCCTGCCTGGTCCTGTCAGTGGACCTGCACACTGCTCGGTCCTGTCAGTGGTCCTGCACACTGACAGGCTCACACAGTGGGGACAGTTGGTATTTGGCACCGTGTTGTGAATGAAGCAAAGGCCTCACAGTGATGCTTCACTGTGAACAGTGACATGAGAGTCCAGCAGATCAGCAGCTCTATACTGTACATGAAAAAGATCAAATGAGTCTTTATAAAAGAGGGGGGTGTACGGACCCTCCACCAGGAGATTGTTTTATTTAAATAAAGAGCATTTCCTGCATTTTGATGTATTTTAGAGTCCCCCAGAGGAGGGCTTAAACACTCAAAGATCACACTATGTTCACTTTTGAAGTCACACGATGTTGACTTTTCAAGTCCCCTGGTGTGTATTATAACAGTAAATAAACTTCTTCCACTTAAGACTCCAGCTGGTTTCCAGTCTTTTACTTTCAGATCTTAGACTTTAAGATCATTGTATAAGACTTTTGCAAACAAACAAACAAACAAAACATTCACTCTCATTTTCCCATTTTGGCCATTTTTTTTTAGATTTTATTTCTTTGAAAACTTTGACATCACATTAGGGAATTCTAGATGACAGGGGGTCAGAGAAAGTGAAAGTGAGCTTTTCCTTGAAGTCCGAGGGACACTCAGACTTAGTCAGACCTGATTGACCCACAAGGGGAATTACTTGGACACAGTAGCTCACACAAATATTACAAGAACACAGAGCAAAAACATATTTTAAAACAAGACACTGGTATGAATAAGACATAAATTATATAAATGTGCGTACAGTAAGTAAAACACAAAAATCATGATATAAAGAGAGAATATCACAGTTATACAGAGACCACAAGGAAACAGTGTAAAGATGATGTGATGAACACTGCAAAGAAAATATAACTTGGAGAAAAATGATTTCTTTAGATACTTGCAATTAAGACAATACTTATTTTCAAAAATGACAAAAAAGGTAACAAATTTGGAACTAGAACGCACTGATTTAATTAATCTGGTATCGCAAACATACTCTAAGGGATGTACATCAGTTATTTCTAAACTATACCGTAGCTTAATAAGTAGTAGGGGAAATTCAACTGAGTATATAAAAAAACGCTGGGAGAAAGAAATTAAAACAGATATATCAACAGAACAGTGGGAAAACATATGTGAAACTGCTCATTCAACTTCTTGTTCTGCTTATTGGCGGGAATTCAGTTGGAAAACCATAATTCGTTTTTGTATAACTCCTAAACAACAAATGAGAAGGAACCCGAACAGCTCTGCATGTTGGAGGCTTGCGGAGATAACGAGGCTCACCATACCCACATATTTTGGTCTTGTGTGAAACTGAAAACATTTTGGACACATGTTGGATCAACAATTGGACAAATAACTGGTTTCACTATTAATCAAAATGTGATGACACTATACATTGGAGATGTACCAGATTTACCAAACAATGTTAGATATTTTATTCAAAATCCTTTGTGCCTGTGCAAAAAAGGCAATTACACGTAATTGGCTTCAACCAGATCCACCTACACTAGAAGACTGGTTAAAAATTGTTGAAGAGACTCATAAAATGGAACGTTTGACATACATGCTAAGGCTCCAAGCTGATGTTTACTATGCAAGATGGGCTAAATGGTCTAAATATCAGTGTGTTTAATTTAGTTAATAGACAGGGCTGCCACAGCTAAGTACTTACAAAAAAGAGCATTGTAGGAGTGTTGTGTGTACATTTATGTGTGTATATCATAAGTATATGTGTACATATATATATTCCCTCCTTTTATGTAAGTGTGTGTGTATATATAGTTATATATATGTATTTTCTCCCCATCTAAACATGTGTTAAATCCCTTGCCGACTGTACCTGTTTTGTTTTGTTATAGAAATGTTATTATATAAAATACTTAATAAAAATTAAGTGACAAAAAAAGATGATGTGATGATTGACAGAAACTCAGGCTTATCTGTTCCATAAGAGTGTTGTTGTAC